TTCGGGGATACCCAGTCTTCTATTTTTAGTCTTGAATTTTTGCATGGAATTATGCCTGAAAGTTCCAGTTCAATTCTTACCGGTAACCTCGTGATGATTAATAATAGTTTATTCGTGCATTTTATGGGCTCTAACCAAAAAAAATAAATAAAACTAAACACCAAAACAGTCCAGGGGACTAGAAACTAAAAAAAAACAAAACACAAATAAACAACAACAAAACCTAGAAGATAAACCAAATGACATCGTTAATACCGAAAATTATTTATAAGTGAAACCTAATAACATGTCTCGTATATGATTTCAGTCATTGTTTAAGTATACGAAATGGAATATCACTAAAATAATATTTAATGTATTGTATGCTTCTAAAGTGAATATTGGCAGAAAAATTGCTTCGTTATGTATTTTCACACACCGCCTCTCTTACCTTTAAAAACAAATTCCATATGAAACGGTTAATACTTTAATGAAATAAAAGTTTTAAAAAATATATCAAAATTCAATATAGGTCTCGATAAAGGGAGATATTAGATCTAACACTTTAGAATTCTACACAAACCACATGTCCAAGAATGAAGACACGCCCAATGTATCCACTCCTTGTTTGACATAATGTTCTAATGTGTATCAGCCCACACACCCCATTTCTGCTTGACTACAATCCTTGGTTATAAGCCCGCTCCTCTTATCTTTCCACGCGCTTAACCAACGGGTCTCCTCCGTGTAACATCCACGCAATGCGAACAAAATATGCTTGTACAGAAATCAGAGATTGTCAGCAGATTGAAGGAGTAACATAATGAATCCAGGAGTTGATAAATATCCGTACTCGTAGCAAGTATTCCGATGTCATGTCATATGTTTGACCGACTCCGCAGACCCTAACTGGTAGATAATCCAATAGCACGCAATACAAAAAGCCATCCACATTAAGTTGATCAATCATTTTCACACCCAGATTATGTTGGTCACTCATTTCCCTACCCACATTATGTTGGTCACTCATTTCCCTACCCACATTATGTTGGTCACTCATTTCCCTACCCACATTATGTTGGTCACTCATTTCCCTACCCACATTATGTTGGTCACTCATTTCCCTAGCCACATTATGTTGGTCACTCATTTCCCTAGCCACATTATGTTGGTCACTCATTTTCCCACAAACACTCAGATTTTAGATCATCCAAAATATTGGTTGGAATAGGCAGCTCTGAAGTGGAAAGTGACGTAACATGTGCCAAGGGGGTCCCCCATAGATTCTAAAAATGGCTAGTTGGGCCACAAAGGTTGGAAGGCACTGCCGTAGACTAAGAAAAGTCATGTCCTTATTTAAATGTTGAACTACATGATCTGGGTATCGCATTGTAACATTGTCTGTCTTAAATGATCTAGATATCACATGGTAACATTGTCTGTGTAACGGGATCTGGATATCACATGGTAACCTTGTCTGTCTAACGGGATCTGGATATCACATGGTAACATTGTCTGTCTAACGGGATCTGGATATCACATGGTAACATTGTCTGTCTTACAGGATCTGGATATCACATGGTAACCTTGTCTGTCTAACGGGATCTGGATATCACATGGTAACATTGTCTGTCTAACGGGATCTGGATATCACATGGTAACATTGTCTGTCTTACAGGATCTGGATATCACATGGTAACATTGTCTAACGGGATCTGAATATCACATGGTAACATTGTCTGTCTTACAGGATCTGGATATCACATGGTAAAATTGTCTGTCTTACAGGATCTGGATATCACATGGTAACATTGTCTGTCTTACAGGATCTGGATATCACATGGTAACATTGTCTGCGTAGACAGCGTTGGTTTGGAGTTTTTGTCTATAGTCTATGAACACTTAGTTAATAATCCAAAAGAAACAAAAAAAGATTGAGTTGTTTAATTTATGCCAGAAACAACATTTAAATGACTCACACATTTAGCAAACTAAAAATGGCGTGACACACTTAATGTTGAGAAAAAAATGGCGTGACACACATAATTTTGTACTAAAAATGTCCTTACACGCATAATGTTTAACTAAAAATTGGCGTGATCCACATAATGTTGAGGGAAAAAATGGCGTGACACTCATAATTTTGTACTAAAAATGGCGTGACACACTTAATGTTGTGCTAAAAATATCTGAACCAAATGAGACCATAAGTGTGTTTAAGTGAACATCTTGAAATTAACAATGATTAAGTGAATATTTTGACACATTAAGTCCCTCAAGTATGATTAAGTGAGTCAATTGAAATAAGACCACTGAGTATGATTAAGTGTACCATTTGAAGTAATACCATTTAGTATGATAAAGTTAACACATTGAAATGAGACAATTATGATTAAGTGAACAAATTGAATTAAGACCATTGAGTATGATTAAGTGAGCCAAATTGCAATAAGACAGTTATGATTAAGTGAACCAATTGAAATAAGACCACTGAATATGATTAATTGAACCAATTGAGGTAATACCATTTAGTATGATAAAATGAACACATTGAAATAAGACAGTTATGATAAAGTAAACCAATTGAAATAAATAATACCACTGTCAATGGTTGAAAAAGTATAATTAAGTAAACTAATTGAAATAATACCATTTAATATGATTAAGTGAACACACTGCAATAAGACTATGATAAAGTGAACCAATTGAAATAATACAATTAAATATGATTTAAGTGAACACACTGCAATAGTAGTATGATAAAGTGAACCAATTGAAATGATACCATTAAATAAGATTATGTGAACAAATTAAAATAAGACGTCGTAAGAAAAATAACACCATACAGGTGAGCACAACTAAATCATTAAAACAATTTTTTTTAAAAACTCGTACTACTTCCCTTGTTTAGGCTCAACACCAGCTGTCGCAGATCAATACAGACATTTCGCCTTCCCCAATGAATAATAGAATCGTCCATTTTTCATTTTATCGCCATACGCAGGCCGTCAGAAAGTGACAACAAGAGGGGGTTGAAGTATAGCGAATGAATCATCTCTTTTTTTTTTCGTCCTTTGTGGAGAATCCTTAAACAGGCGGAGTTTCCGAATTTCCTACTCATCAGCCATCAACATTAATGTAACTTTAGATTATCTCTCCAACTCTTCAGCCATCAACATTAATGTAACTTTGGATTATCTCTCCAACTCATCAGCCGTCAACATTAATTTAACTTTAGATTATCTCTCCAACTCATCAGCCGTCAACATTAATGTAACTTTAGATTATCTCTCCAACTCACCAGCCGTCAACATTAATGTAACTTTAGATTATCTCTCCAACTCATCAGCCGTCAACATTAATGTAACTGTAAATTATATCTATCCCTCCAACTCATCAGTTGTCAACATTAATGTAACTTTAGATTATTTCTATCTCTCCAACTCATCAGTTGTCAACATTAATGTAACTTTAGATTATCTCTCCAACTCATCAGTCGTCAACATTAATGTAACTTTAGATTATCTCTCCAACTCATCAATTGTCAACATTAATGTAACTTTAGATTATCTCTCCAACTCATCAGTCGTCAACATTAATGTAACTTTAGATTATCTCTCCAACTCATCAGCCGTCAACATTAATGTAACTTTAGATTATCTCTTCAACTCATCAGCCGTCAACATTAATTTAACTTTAGATTATCTCTCCAACTCATCAGCCGTCAACATTAATGTAACTTTAGATTATCTCTCCAACTCATCAGCCGTCAACATTAATGTAACTGTAGATTATCTCTATCTCTCCAACTCATCAGTTGTCAACATTAATGTCACTTTAGATTATCTCTATCTCTCCAACTCATCAGTTGTCAACATTAATGTAACTTTAGATTATCTCTATCTCTCCAACTCATCAGTTGTCAACATTAATGTAACTTTAGATTATCTCTCCAACTCATCAGTCGTAAACATTAATGTAACTTTAGATTGTCTCTCCAACTCATTAGTCATCAACATTAATGTAACTTTAGATTATCTCTCCAACTCATCAGTTGTCAACATTAATGTAACTTTAGATTATCTCTCCAACTCATCAGTCGTCAACATTAATTTAACTTAAGTTTATCTCTCCAACTCATCAGTCGTCAACATTAAGGTAACTTTAGATTATCTCTATCTCTCCAACTCATCAGTTGTCAACATTAATGTAACTTTAGATTATCTTTATCTCTACAACTCATCAGTTGTGAACATTAACGTAACTTTAGATTATCTCTCCAACTCATCAGTCGTCAACATTAATGTAACTTTAGATTATCTCTCCAACTCATCAGCCGTCAACATTAATGTAACTTTAGACTATCTCTCCAGCTCATCAGCCATCAACATTAATTTAACTTTAGATTATCTCTTGAGATCTTCATGATAAGATCAGTGATAAGTTGGTGATATCAATTAAACAATAAGAAAAGTAAACAAAATAAATTACCATACAGATTTCTTTTGATCTGTTATGCCTTTAAATAATTTCAGCTTTGAACTGCTACTCAAGTGAAGTATACAAATATAGTTCATGAGGGAATCAATGTGACACTATTGACATGCTTAGTAAAAAGTGATATAATTGTATGTATAAAAAATAAAATAACGCATTTCTGTGGCCAGCGATTAAACCGCAAATTAGGGCACACGTTACGAAACCCGAAGTCACTCAGCAGTTCGTAATTTATGTTTCTTAGTTCATTTGCAGCTTATGGTCACTTACAACATTTGTGCTACGCATGGTTGAATGAAGAACCAGATCAGTACACATCAAAGCTAAATATTTGAACCCAATTGCACTGTTATTTAAAAAAGCCTTAAAAGAAAGTTATACGTTTTAAATAAAAAATCATAAATGCCATAGGATCTAATCCTGAGTTCCATTTACGAATAAGACAGATTTTAACTAATAAAAGCCGAAAACAGCCAACAAATGCAAATAGATTTTTTTTAAATAAACAAAAAAAACACCAGGCCTTAAACTGACAATTGTTTTATTAGTTTTAACAACCTATCAAACCATTCCAACAGCAAATTATAGGCAAAAATCAATATTATTAATAGTCACTTCAAGTTCAAGCTGAAAAAAATGTCAATAATGACATTCAGTCAGTGATATTGACGCAAGTAAAAATTCAATTAAAATATGGTTTCTTCAGGCATTTTATCTCTACCTTGAAGTGAGGATGAATATATTACTATTACTGAAATTGTAGGAGTAGAAAAAAATTAAAATCTTGAAGCTGAAAGATGATTTTGGTTTAAGACAGTCCACTTTAATGAAAATAAATAATTATTATAGACTTTTTCTTAGGTTGCTCTGTCTAGGATGATCCTGATTTTGACCCTTTTCCTGATCTCAAATTGAGCTGAAAATATGTACACTTATCCACCCCGATGACCATACAAAACTGCATGATCAGTAGGTCACCAGTGACCCCCACTTACCCTTGAGTGACCACTGCGGGTCACAAATTGCATCTCAATTTTGACCCACTTCCTGACCTCAAATTAAACTGAAACTTTGTACACTTGCCCACCCCTGAAGGCAATACAACCAGACCATGAGTCATGATAAATGATAATTAAGACACAAAATTTAACAATATGAAAAAATATATATATATAAAAAAAAAACCACATTTTCAAAAAATGTACTAAAAAGCATTAAATACCAAAACTTCAGAGCTGTTACAGTCATATGAAAAAGCGTGGTGAGCCCATGAACTGAACTTTTTTGCAAATTGCAAAAACATACATGCAGCGGTAGCGCTAAATTCATTCCACTTGTCAAGATCACGATCGATGGGAGCATACAATAGTAATGCAAGGCAGTTGTGAGAACTCATGTTTCCAATGATTAAATTAACTTTATCAAAACCGTTGTGTCACAAAACACTAATTTGCAGCAATGTAAATGTATAAATATGTCCAACATTGTCTTTTATGGGTCCGTCTGTCTCCCCACAAATTGCTTCTTTTATTAAATTTTTATTCATATGACTGTAACAAATTTGAATTTTTGGGGGACAATTATTTTATACTTTTAAAGTACATTTTATGAAATCAAATGTAAATTTGTGTAAACACTATTAATCGTCTCTATAACATTCTGTGAAGAAAGAGAACCCAAAGAATTATTAAGGAAGATTAATTCGGCCGCTGATCTCCCTTTCAAAAGAGCAACTTGATAAAAAACAACATAGTAGTTTTAAAGAACAAAACTGTTACCAGTAAAATTAATTCTAAAGAGAGGACAGATGCACAGGTTGTTACAAAAAGTTTGGACAACAGTGAGTGAGATAACAGTGAGTGAGATAACAGTGAATGAAATAACAGTTGATGCTTTGCTGTAAGTGGGTTAACAAGTTTAACACATAAAGGGAGGGGGGGGGGTTAACATGAGGAGGGAACTACTCCAGTGCCTTGTTCAGTCAATGTTATGATTCAGCCCTTTCAAAGTGCCAGTCACAAGGCTTCATCATCCATGTTCCAACAAGTGTCGTCTTCTGTCATCTCCCACAGGCTGTTGGTGATAAAAAACTGCGACTGTTTAGTTTCGTCGAAACAGAAGGTCTTGATTTCATCAGGCTTTGTGCATATGACTTGGACAAGAAAGTCAAGGAAAAATAAACCACACAATTAGGCTTGAATTTTTTTTTTGTATTTCTAGTTTTTTTGTTCACTTCAACTCTGAGATATGCTGTGTGTATATGCGTGTGTATGGCAGCTCACCCCCAAAAAACTTATCACTGTGCCTATTAATTTGTGCATATAATTAATTATAATCAAAACTGGTAAAAATGGTTTGAAAAAAATGATTAATAATTGTGAGGTTTTCTAAAAATTAAAATATGTAAGGGGATTTCATTCTCCACACATGCAACTTCCCAAGCAATTTCTCTATGATTAATTATCAAATAAAAGGATACAGCCTTTAATTTCACCAGGTTTTTCACTTTTTTGCCAGGTGATTTGACTAATTTCTCTGTAAATATTGACAGCAGACCTGTGGAAATATTTTGACAGTTCAGGATAGAAAAGTTACTACACTTTATAAGAAATCAACCGTCAATAATTAAAATAAGACAAAATTAAATAATGGCACAGGTAGAATTAAAACCTTATAAACCATTTAATGAGACTTGGCAGTTTTAATGAACAGAGAAATCTTAGTTTATTCAGATTGAGTTAACTGATTATATTTTTGGGACATAATTTTTCAACTTCTTCTTCTATATTTTGAGGGCCCATGTTCAATATATTGATCATTCTGGTGCCTATTCCTATATTCATGATATTGAAGATATGTAATTATCTCATAACATCAAATTGTACTTTACCACTCTAAATTAAAGAAAATCAAAGTGTACTGCAGAGAATAAAATGACAAGGGCATTGGTCTTTTAAGTCAATTTTGAGTCAGCAGCATTTTTTAATTTTTAAACCATTTTGTAAATTATATCTGATAATAAAGTATTAAGTGAGCCACATGCAGGGGCGGATTGGGAGAATGTAGGTGCGCGCGATACCTTGGGCAATATTCTTATTCGGATACTTTAAATTTAGGAACAACATTAAAAGGAATTTATAATAAGTGTTTAAATACTTTCTAATGAACAGAGCTGAATTTAATTCATTTATCGCCTTTGTGTAAAAGTTTATCACTTACCTAGCCCTGTTCTTATTATTTTCCTTTTCCTCCTGCATTGCAGCCTTTAATTGTTCCTCTAGTTTCTGAACCTGTTTCTGGAGTTCATTCTCTGTTCCTGTCGCTCTATTGATTTTATCGTCTAAAGTCAGTAATTCTGATTGCAATTTCCGTATTGTTTCCTCTTCTTCCTGCTCATCCTTACAAGAGAGTGAATTTAGTTTCTGCTGAAGATCTGATGAAATAATTAATTTCAAGATTTATATACATTTTATTTGCCAACTTTAACAAAAGTAAATGCACATGAATAAAATTCATTCAGTTTTTGATATTTTTATCACTCTTGTGATCTCATAGAATCAAATGAATAAATCCAATGCTCTAACCGTAGAAAGTTTGTTAAGTGACAGAAACAGGGTTAAAAAAAAGAAGAGAGTCCCACCTGAAATGCCTTCTTTGAACATCTTTCTCTCTTGCGAAGCCTTCTTTTTCACATCAAGTCCTATTTCCAACATCTGTCTAAAATGATCCTTCACAACTGATTTAAGTGGGTCCGACATGGAGCCTATGTGAACACAGAATGAAAAATGTTAAATATTTAAAAACTTTAGTACGTTTTAGAAAAAAAAATAATGAAAATTAACATGAACTTAGTTTTTTGACACAGCTTTAATATATTACATATGTACACTATCACAATACACACTTTTAACTTTAAATTTACAATATGCTAGATGAAAACTGCATGTGATCGCCTGAAATGACTTAGCTGCACAATCCGAATTCAGCTCACTTCTACCAAGTACTTCCAACAATTTAACTACAAGCAAGTTGTTAAAAGCTAATTACTTGCAAGATCTATAGCTGGTATGACTTAGGGCCTAACTTAAATGTGTTTTTCAACTTATTTTTTAAACAATCATTTATTTTTATTTATGCCGACATATCTTAAAGAATAAAAATATGATTAACTTTGATAATATAATTTTAGACTTTAGACTAAATAACGTAAGATATAGTTGAACTTCACAAAAATGTTTTAAGTACAAATCAGTTACTATTTACATATTTATTCATTTAAATTGTAAGGCATAGCATGGCAGCATCAGAATGCTATAAATACAACACAATTTTTTTTTTAGTAGGCCCCAAAAAATAATATAGTTAACCGTAGTCCTACATGTACTTAATGTGATAGTTCTAAACTTTTATCTCTTAATCCTAAAGATCAAATGGTGATACTGTTCATTTTATTTAAAATTAATGCAGCCATATTCACTAAGATAAGTATGTTAAAACCTAAAAAGATAATCAAACTTCTGGTTATTGGATTTCTGACAGATAGCCGGTATGTTAACTTTTTGCATGCATCGTACTCCCCCAAGGTAACAGTAATGAAGTTTTTAAAAATATCATCTCCACGGAAACGGTTGTAGAACATGAACTGATACAATTAGGAGGGAAAAGATTGCAGCTTATGCTTAACTGTCTTTTCAGTTTGCTTGCATCCACATTTTCAACATGCTGTATGTGGTCACCAGTGTCATTTGGATCAACAAAATTTTATTGATGGATCGCAATGGACTATTTGTATATTCCTTGTTTGATCTGGTTTATGTTGGCATAAGCCGCCCATCCTTCCAACACACAGTGAGGCTAGAATGATATATTTTTCTTCTGTCAATACACTCCTATAAAGTGATCGCAGTCAGTTTGGCACAGCATCCACTTTATTTTTATGCCACTCAAAACCACCATCAATAATAATATGAAAATTTTTAAACATTTAAAAATACTACAGCTTATTAGAGCCTAGAGAATAGATTACAGAAATACCAAGATCAACTTCCTAGCTCAAGTGGTTCAAAAGTTATGATTTTTTTTAGCAAGGACCCAAAAACCACTTTTTTTACTACAGAGTTTTCTTCCACAAGTGTGACCCCCTTATTTGGCTTTTTGCTTTTATGCCTATAACTTTATTATAAAATGAGATAAAAATATAACATTTACAAGGAATATAGTTAGATGAGGGTTTTACTAAATAAAACTAAAAATTTTAAATTTAGTTATTGTTAATATCCCCCCCCCCAAAAAAAATTCTTTAATGCCTATAATTTTCTTTATAAAAATGTATAATGTGACAGCAGACCTGTTTATCCTCAAACTCTTCAAAATCGTACAATACATTATCTTAATGGTAAAAAAATAAACATACAGAATATATGTGTACACCTTAAAATCGTAAATTGTAGGCCAAAATCATAAGAGTAATGAGGTCTGTGGCAGAAAGTGTGTTTCTTTTCTTTGAGAATACTTAGGATTATATTATATATATATATATAAACTAGTATAAATATATCAGTTGTAATAAACGCTATTTATCCCACTCCCTAAATCATTTATAATAGTATAATTACTTTTATAATACTTTTACTAAGCCTATATAAGTCCAAGACAAGTGCTTATCAATCCCATGTCAGCCATGTCCATGGCAGTGAATCCCAAAATTAAAACTACTGTTATTTGATAAGCTAATAATAATTATTTATGTTATAAACATTTTTTAGTCTATATAAAATAATTTATTATTAGTTATATTTCACATTTATATTCTGGATAAACAATATAATAATTGTTAATTACCCCACGGCCGCTATAGATAATTGGTAATATGCAGTCACGTACGGTGGCCATGATGACAAATTACATATCCTAAAAAAGTGATGTCTTAAACTTTCATTTTTGAAGCCTGATTATGGTCTACACTCATGAAATTTGGATATGTTATAAATGATGATTCTTTTATTTATCCAAACAAATGGAAATGTTTTATGATTGAGATTGCATTGTACATTTGCAGCACATAAATAAAACAATGTGAACACAAGACATTTATATTAGTAAAAAAAAAAAGATAAAAAGAAAAAAAAAGCCATTCAGTGAGTACTCTCAGCCATATCAGGGACTTAAAAGTTCTCACTAAGATTTATGACTTCAGGGGAGCACGCTGGTAAATTCGTACAGAAAAAAGAATTTTTATATCTTTCAGTCCTCGCCCCGGCGGAAAGGATTCGTCCCGAACGGGCCAATCCTATTTATCTGTGATGAAGAGGGTGGGATGCATCATCCAAATTGTGTTTAGTATTACAATAACATCTTTCTTCAAATAGTTCTTCAAGTGAAGGATGTTTAGTTTGTATTGTGTTTCTAGCTTTCTTGTTGACTAGTCGGTTCATGCAGTGTTTAATATCAGACGTTGAATTCCCACACCAGCAGGTAATCCTGAAATTAAGCAGGCTTCCAACTGTTGCACTGTAGAATAACCTTATAAATTAACTCAGCCTTTTTTTCTTTTATAAATCAGCGCTTTTTAGAAAAGAAGTTATTGGTCAGTGAAGTTAACCTATTTTCAACTTCAATTTTCAAAGCTTTAAACTAAATTAAACTTTAACCTCGAAAAAAAAATCAAATGAATTCTCAATAGAACAAGCAAGATGTGGGCTTGTGAAGTAATTGGTGGATGTAGAATTTATTATGCTAAAAATGGACTATTAAAGGCAAACCAACGATAATCTCAGTAAATTAAAAAGTGGAGGTTACCATTTTGACAACAAAATTACAATATCTATTTTTCCTGGCAATACCAAAGTGCCTAATAATAAAAATAGTAACTGTTTAAATAGCACTTTAAATTTTAAACCAGAACAACACTTGACAACATAATTTTTTCATTAGGCCTTATGAGCGCTCAAGTGGTTGATTACCTCTAACTCACTCATTGACTAATTGTACTTAATAAGATGTCGGCTTGAAGTAATAGATGGATGTAGAAATTAGGCAATCCTCCGAAGTCCGGTCCCAAATTATTTCCAATGATTACTACTTACTTAAAAGTCTTGGGGCATCATTCTGTTTTGAAATTGATGTTTGTGTTAGTGGACGATGTTGGATGGAGGTTGTCAGCCGCCAAGATGCACAAACACTGGAGCGCATTATCACTCATCATGTGTTACCAGGGACAACTATCATCACGGACGCTTGGCGAGTATTTCAAAATGTTGCTCAGCTCAACAACTGGATTTATGCTCACGCTGTCATTGTGCATGTGCGTGAATTTGTTGATCTAGTAGACCAGGACATTCACACATAAATTATTGAAGGACTTTGGATGCAAGCGAAACGTAAACTCCGCTATGAGAGTGGTACTAGTCGCGGTCTGTTTGCCAGCTACTTGGAGCCCTCAGTGGCGCAAGTCACAAGCAGAACGTTTTCGGCTGCTATTTGATATTTGCAAATGCTATGTGCCCCAATGACAAAATTTAGTATTTACTGACTGGTTTGTAAAGTCACAGTTATTTGCAAAAGCTATGACTGACATTTCTGCTGTTTTCTAACAATAGCCACAGTGCATTGCATTTTTTTTTTCATACGAAATAATTTGGGACCGGACTTCGAAGGATTGCCTAAAAATTATTATGCCATGCTAAAAATGGACTATTAAAGTCTATTTAAAGGCAAACCGGCGTATGTTTATAATCTCATTTACCTCTTTTCTCCATATAATATATAATGGTAAAGAAATAAGTATAAGATAGTCTTTTTCTCTCGTTTTACCACACCAGGTTTGTCTTCTATTGATTCAACTGTGTCAGGTTTGTTTTCAAGTTTTCCGCTTCCGCGATATTTGTACCTAAAACATTGAAGAGTACCACTTCGACAGAGATAAACAATACTGGGATTGGGAGTGTTTATTGTAAAAGTCAGTGGGGAGTAGCAATAAGCATTTTCCACATGCAAGATAATTTTTTTTAATGATGAAATTGAAATGAAATAGTAGAACAAATTGACTTTATTTCTATTGAAGAAATTATTACATCTGCTGGTGGTGAAATATTGCTCCATAAATTTAAAAAAACAAAAACAAACTTAAACAACTGTATTACTTAAACTTGATTGACTTAATGTAAATGCCGTCTCCTTCTTTCCCTGCCATTTCATTTTATATTTATGGCTAGTTAAAATAATTAGAGCTGAATAGTAATAGTAGTAAAATATAATATCGCAAATGTAAACAAAAAAATTATACAAAATAAATAAATAAATTATGAAACAATGTTTAGGGGCCAAGTTAAAGAAATACTTAATCTGAAATAAATGAGGAAACATTCATTTGATAAATGTGGCAGCTCTGCGAAACGATTTTTTTTAAAAATCGTTCAACTGTTTTGTGGAGCCAAAAGGTTTATTTTTCTTTAACCACGTAGGTTTAAGAGTTTTTTTTTTTTAAAAAAAAGAATAAAAGTTAAAAGACAATTAGATAATAAAAGTTAAAACTAACAGACAAAAAAAAAAATAATAATACACTAAAAAATAAATAAAAAATGCTAACTACTACCCATAACAAAACTTAAAATAATATTTAAAATCACGTAGGTTTAAGAGTTTTTTTTTTTTAAAAAAAAGAATAAAAGTTAAAAGACAATTAGATAATAAAAGTTAACACTAACAGACAAAAAAAAAAATAATAATACACTAAAAAATAAATGAAACATGCTAACTACTACCCGTAACAAAACTTAAAATGATATTTAAAAAAGAACTTTTTGATCTTGATAAATTTTCTAAATAAAAGCTAATTATAAGATAATATAAATGATTATTTAAAATATATGTGGGGCTCAGAATGTTTCAATTTCTTCAGTCAGCTTACCATAAAATTTGGGCATCACCCTTGCTGTCTCTCAAGACTGCCTTCACTGCTAAAGTGTGAACAAAGTATAACAGTTATAATCTGGGCAGTGCCAATGGCATGTTGTGCACAGGGCAAAAAATGATATTTTTGTTGTCCTTTCTGAAAAATGTATATATCTATTTAAGCATTGCATAAATAAATAAATAATTAGTTTTTTTTTGCACACATGATTTAGACGCCCGTGGCCCTACAGCACCCCCCCCCCCGCCGCATGACACTCTTAACGCAGCATTGGTTACAACGAACATTGTCTCGCACACCTTTATTTAAGCTGACGTTATGTTTAGACTCTATGGAGTTGATTTTTATTTATTTATCATGTCCGGTGAATAACACTTTCAAGTCTGAAACGCATCTACACTGTGTGGGCTCTCAACACCAATAACATTACAGAATCTATTCTATGTGCCTAAATAAGAATGCCACTAAGCATTATACATTAAATGCCCTTTAACAATATACATTAAATGTCCTTTAAAAATTTACATTAAATGCCCTTTTACAATAAATAATATACATTATTGGAAGCGCATGAAGGTACAGTCAGCATTGGTAGCAGAACAATCACCAACCTACGCTTTGCGGACGACATAGTCGTGCTGGCTGGGAACGAAGAAGAACTAGCCAACCTGGTAAAGAGTCTCGATAAGAGACCTCGTCGTCCTACGGCATGCTAATCAGTGCCGAAAAGACAAAACTGGTGACAAATAATACCGCAGATTGGAGACTGTCGGTCGCTTCAAATACCTAGGAGCAATAGTCTCAGAAGAAGGCTCCAAGCCCGAAATGATGTCCAGGATTGAGCAGACTACAACAGCACTAAAAAAGCTCAAGAAAATATGGAATGACAAAAATATAGCCCCAGCCCCAAAATCAGCCTGATGCGCTCATTAGTCCTCTCAATTTTCCTATATGCCTGCGAATCCTTGACATTAACAGCGATCTCGAAAGGAAAATAAAGGCGATGGAGATGAGATGCTTCAGAAGCATTCTTGGAATCTACTATAGGGACCATGTCTCCAATGATACAGTGAAAGAAAGTGTTCGTCAGGCAATTGGGGAGTACGATGACCTACTGGTGACTGTGAAAAAACGCAAATTACAAGGGTACGGCCACGTAACAAGGAAACAAGGGCTTGCCAAAGAAATATTGCAGGGCACCACAAGAGGAGGGAGAAGAAGAGGAAGACAAAGAAAAAGGTGGGAGGATAACATCAAAGAGTGGACCGGACTAACACTGGGCGATGCAGTGCGTAGTGCTGAAGACAGAGAGGAATGGAGGAGGATGGTTCACATGTCATCTGTGGCATCCCAACGGTCCAAGGACTAAGGGACATAAGGATGAGGATGAGGAGGAATATACAGTAGATGCCATTAAACAATTTACATTAAATGCCACTAAATAATATATATTAAATGCCGTTAAACAATATAAATTAAATGCCATTAAACAATATACATAAAATGCCACTAAATAATATACATTAAATGCCATTAAACAATATAAATTAAATGCCATTAAACAATATACATTAAATGCCATTAAACAATATACATTAAATGCCATTAAACAATATACATTAAATGCTATTAAACAATATACATTAAATGCCATTAAATAGTATACATTAAATGCCATTCTCAGCAGTCATACTTGATTAACCAAGCGTCAGTGTAAGATTCCCATCTTAACAATGGCGTAACTAGGTACAATTGGTCGAAAATACCGCCCCATCATGTAAAGAAAAAAAAGTGCCCCACTCCGCACCCCTCCCCCTTCCCACGCCACTGCATCACAACGCCCAATCTGCCCAGGGTGCCTCTCTCATAGAATGATACACAAGTAGAGACCGACTGTGTAGAGACCGACCGAAAGTGATTTTCTGATTTCGGCCGAAGCCGAAAATAGGCCGAAAGTTTAAAATGACTTTTGGACGAAACCGAAAAAATGCCGAAAGTTTAAAAATGACTTTCGGCCGAAACCGAAGAAAAGCCGAAAGTTAAAAATGAATTTCGGCCGAAACCGAAGCCGAAACCGAAAATGAAATATTAAGATATTTTGAAATTCATTCCCGCATACATTTTGCATACATCGAAAATGATGTGGGAAAGTATAAATATTTACATTCTTTTTATAAAAAATGAGATAATCGTGAATATTAATAAATAAACATCTAATATAGTGGTCTCAAACTCGCAGCCCACGAGCCATTTGTGACCCGCAAGACGATATTTTACGACAGAAAAGTTTAGTGTAAATGCGCCGGACCGTTTCCCCAATTCTGATATCTATAACGTGACTCTCCGTGACGGTTTCAGTCGAATCTCACCGACTAGTCTAATTCTGATTTTTTAAAAAAAATGTTTCTATATATTTTTGTATGCAACTGTGAGTAGGTGGATGAAAATGAATCCTAGTTGAGAACCCTTAAGGATTTTATTGTTATTTATAAAGGTTGAGCAGATTGTAACAGTTGTAATCGCTTTTTTGTGGATTACTTGATGCGGGCCACTCTCATTCAGACACTACCTCCTGCTGCCTCCCTGATGATTTGAGTTTGAGACCCTTGATCTATTGAATACTTTAGATTTTACCATTTTAATATAAAAGCAATTTAAATTGCTTTACAATTTTTTAAAATTAGTATGGTAGGAGAAAATTTTGCAAAAATGGGGTGGGAGGGGGGGGGCAAAATTAATGCAAAATATTATTTTTTTAAACCGGTTCTCTAAAAATTGTTGTTCTGAAATGGTTCTAAAAGATCGCTTTATTGGTTCTGAAAGGTCGCATTATTTGTTTTTAAAGATGGTTTAGTTTGTTGTTAAAGATCGTTAGTTGCTTGTTATTGATCAGTTAGTTTGTTCTTAAAGATCGCTTAGTTTGTTCGAAAATATCGCTTAGTTTGTTGTTAAAGATCGTTTAGTTTGTTCATAAAGATTGCTTAGTTTGTGTTAAAGATCGCTTAGTTTTTTCATTAGGATCCCTTAGTTTGTTCTTAAAGATAATTGATTTTTTCCTTAAGATCGATTAGTATGTTCTTAAAGATCTTTTAGTTTGTTCCTAAAGAGCATTTAGTTTTCCGTTAAAGATCGCTTAGTTTTTTCTTATAAATCATTTAGTTTACTATAAAGATAATTTGTTTTGTTCTTGAAGATAATTTAGTTCGGTCTTAAAAATCGTTTAGTTTGTTCTTTAAGATCGTTTAGTTTGTTATTAAAGATCGCTTAAATTGTTCTTATAGATCGCTTAGTTCGTTTTAAAGATCGTTTAGTTTGCTCTTAAATGTCGCTTAGTTTGTTGTTAAATTTCGTTTTCGCTGATTATTAGATGACCGAAAACCTGAGTCCGGCCGAAAGTCTAAGTCAATTTCGGCCGAAACCGAAGAAAACCCGAAAGTTAACTTTTCTCTTTCGGCCGAAACCGAAATTAAGCCGAAAGTTAACTTTTCAGTTTCGGCCGAAACCGAAACTTGGCCGAAAGTGATAAAATGGCCACTTTCGGCGCTGAAACCGAAGCCGAAGCCGAAATTCGGTCGGTCTCTCTACACAAGTAGGGTAACCTTCCAGTGAGGCCAACGAGACAAGTAGGATAACCTTCCAGTGAGGCCAACGAGACAAGTAGGATAACCTTCCAGTGAGGCCAACGAGACAAGTAGAATAACCTTCCAGTGAGGCCAACGAGACAAGTAGGATAACCTTCCAGTGAGGCCAACGAGACAAGTAGGATAACCTTCCAGTGAGGCCAACGAGACAAGTAGGATAACCTTCCAGTGAGGCCAAAGAGACAAGTAGGATAACCTTCCAGTGAGGCCAACGAGACAAGTAGGATAACCTTCCAGTGAGGCCAACGAGTTTGTCATTAAACTGAAGACTTTGATTGCTTGCCAAATTTCAGTCAAGGGGGAAGAGCGACGACCACGAGATACCTTGTACATGAGCGCAAAGTACACTCCTCTATGTTATG